ATGTGAGAGTGAATGAATAGTGGTATTGTAAAGCGCTTTGGGTGCCTTGAAAAATGCTATATAAATCCAATCCATTATTATTATTATTATTATTATGTATGGGATAAACAAAACTAAAAGAAAGACATGCGGGTCCACCGGGAGTGAGACAGTTGTTAGCTGAAGCTGCTTTACCCTGATTCCCAGACAGTAGGATCATTAACCACTCTTGTGTTACACAGAGAAGGCGTCCTCTCAAGGTAGCAAGTTTAAAAATTATCCTTAGGCACTTTGTCACAAAAAAACCCACTTAATTTGTTCCCATTTCTCTTGAAGAATTCCAAAGCTAACATCTTAGTAATCACCTTGTTGTTCTTTGACAAACAACAACAAGGTGATTACCAAAGAGCTGTTAGCTGAATGTGTTTTTGGAAAGTGGAGGATGAAAAAAGAATTGGGGTCTAAAAAGATAAATGAAATAACATATAGAAATAGATTTTCAGTGCTTTTATCAAGAAAGAACAATCAGGTTTTTCTATCAAGAAAGATTTGCTCTTTCTTTGTTCCTGTTTTTAAGAATCCTGGTTGATGTTGAAAATCTTGAAATCGTGTCTTCCTGTCGGCCTCTGCAGCTCTCACAGTGTGTGGATCGAGGCGTCAATTTGTTGGTCCGAGACTCTGGGGGTTGTTCAGCGTTGCATTTAGCTGCTCAGAGCGGACACGCAGACCTGGTCCGCTACATACTGCAGCAAGGTGAGAAAGTGCATGTTAAATAAATATCTGTGTTACTGTAAACGAAAGTCTCCAACAGCCTCCTGGATCTACTTTCAGTCAGAGTCACAAAACTGAAAGACTCAGGTTGTTTAGGGTTAAAATCCCACAGCTGTGTACAACTCAGTGTCACAACAGCAGTTCTGGATATTCACAATATCCAATGTTCATACTGACACGTTTTAGTATTTCATGAAAACTCTTGTCTTACTTTGAATTTAATCGCAGCAAAATGTCTCCAACAATTTGGGAAGAGGGCAAAAAAAAGCTGAAAAAGAAACAAGTGGAGGAACATCAACAATGTGATGATTGGGTATAAAAAGAGCTTCTCAGAGAGTAATGAGGTGCAGATTGGTGAACCTGTGCACAAGACCTGCATGTAGAAATTGTGGAACAATTTGAAAAACATGTTCTTGAATGTAAAATTACAAAGATGTCGAATATTGCATCATCTACAGTACAAGATATCATCAGAAGATTGAAAAAAATTGAACAAATCTCTGTGTGCAAAGGCCAAAAATAAATACTGGATGTGAAATGATCCAGAAACACTGAGGCAAAGTGGAAGACTGTTCTGAGGGCAGGAAAACATGGACTAAAGAGGATTTGGACCTTCTGGCTTGTTTAACAGCATTTGTACGTTCAGATCACTGCTCACGCTTCCTGTTTCTCCCTCCTCAGGCTCCAAGGTTCTTCTGGATTTAACAGACACAGAGAGGTACTTTCTGTTTTGTTTTCTCTGAAGGGAAATGTATCATTCATGTGTATTTTATATTTGTTTAAAATTCACACGTAGTGATTATGTGAGAACCTGAGTGCAGACAACTCAATCCTGTAGTGTAGTGTGGTATAGAACAGTCTGACCACAGTGACGTTACTGCTTTATCTATGATCTTTAGCTTTATATATGAGTTGTATCTGATCACCAGAATGTGTGTGTGTGTGTGTGTGTGTGCGTGTGTGTGTGTGTGCGTGTCTAGAGGTGACACTGCATTGCACAAAGCAGCATCAGGGAAGCAGCACGCAGTGTGTCGACTACTGGTCGAGGGCGGGGCGTCACTAGAGAAGACCAACTTCCAGGTAAACAGATGTTTAAATGGTAAATGGACTGGTTCTTATATAGCGCTTTTCTACACAACTTTAAACAGCTGCACATACAATTCCCGTAAGTCCCGATGAATCACGCAAATGATTTACAGTGAAAGGTTTTGTGGCTTCCAGGGTGTGTCACTCTCACAGTGAAAAAGGAATCGGTCAGCAGCTGATACCAAAAGCTTAAAGAACAGGAAGTATGGCAATAAAAAAAACAGGCTTTACCAAACAGATCAGTGCATCACATCTTTGTCCTGAGGGGAAGTGTGTGATTGTCATTTATATTTTCAGGCAAAGAAGAGGTAAGTCAGTCGATACTGGCTGCAATAAAAGAGGCAAAGTTCCCCAGGACAGTTGTGACCTGGAAACATGTTTAAAGATTAAAAGCTTCTTTAGTTTCTCGCATTCACTGACTTTCTTTAGGTTTTAGAGGCTTTAAGGGGCATTTTACACCACAGTTATTTTGTTTAAAGCACCAAAAATACCTTAAAAAATCCTTACAAGCAAAAACTTGTTGCAGAATTACTAAAAATGACTTTCGTCAGACTGGGTTAAACAGTAAAGGGTGGAAAGTCATCTTCTCAGAACCTTGGTAAGACATGTAGTTGCATCTAAACATGCGTCCTCCATGGTTCCATTTAAAGACGGTGATTTATTCTTTAGGCCAGATTAGCCCTCCATTATGCTAACTAGATTAGAGATCTCGCTGTGGGACACCTTGCTCCCTTACCTTCCATTTTTAATCCATCCCTCGGATTCATGCTGCCGCTTTTGTACGTTCCTTTTGGATGAGAGGCACGCTCCAATCTAATCGTCTCTTTCCTTCAGGGGAAGACGCCGGCAGACCAAGCCGATGGAGACGCTGAGCTCGCCGCCTACCTGAGCTCATCGTCTGCAAGCCACGAAGACCTGGAGACGGCCGTGTGATCGCGAACACGCTCGCGCACTCTGTGTCGCTCTGGACTCTGCGCGCTCGACGTGGAGAGGAAAACGTTTGGATTCGACTCTTCGGGCGGAGAAGTTGGAGACGAGCTAGAAGAGATGAACTGCTTCAGCTGGCAGCAGCACTGCAGAGGAGATTTTACTGGTCTACTATTTATTTGTATTTATTTATTCATATTCTATTTATTGGTTGTGCCGATTGAGTGAATGACTGATCGTAGGACTATCAGGATGCAAGTGCAATTGGACCAGCCGTCACACGTCGTGAGTTCACCTGTTTCTCATCTTATAAGGGATTCATGCATATTTTACTCCCTGAGACTTCTGCAGTGGTTTAAAGTGTATAAAGTGTCATTTCAGCGCTCGTAGGAACAGTAAAAGTTTTTGTTTGTCCCTTAAAACTTGTGCCAAAGACATTGCACTAGCGTAATGTCACATCTCATCCCAAATTTCAGTCATTTTCCCATCATCTGTCACATAGTTTGATTTCCACGCCTTCCCTAAACTTTCTTACTCCCATGTCATTAAATATGCAACGCTAGCGTTTGCAATCACGTGCTGCCCGCTAAGTCACACATCACAAAATAAAACAAACAAAACAAACATATCCTCCCCGGGTGCGCTCGTCCTGAAGTGCTTGTAATGTTTTCCGCTTTTGGCTTCTTGCGAGTCCCGACTCGACTTATCCTATCGGAGTCGTTGCTTCGCCGTGACTCATAAAAATGACAAAACGCTTGTCAGCTTTCTGACTCTTTCAAGCAGCTGATTACTTCCAGGAACACTCAGTGGACTAAATGTGTCACATTTTTTACAGACAAAACCATGATTCAGAGCTACGTGTACAGATGAGTTTTTAAAAGGTTTTTTAAAATGAGGATCTGCTCTTGCCCACTTTTAACATTTATTTTCATTTTATGTCTGCGTCACTGCATCATTTCTCCAACGTCTTGGCATGTGCTGGAGTCTGAGAGGTTCACAAAGAGATCTTTAAACTAAAGCTGCGATTGAGTTATTCGCATGTTTAAAAATTTATTGTGGCAAACATGATGGAGGGACTTTATGTTCCCCACAGCAGCCACACACAAAAAAATACACAAGCTGATATTAGACGAGTGTAAATGTGATAAAGCCAGACAAAGAGCAAAATATCAGTGTTTCTCAGTGGTAGAAGCTACAAGTATTTAGCTCTGTTTGCACTGTCAGTAAACCACAACAATTCAAAACATGGACACAGTTTGGCATAGAAAAAAATCAAACCTGCATGAACTGTGAAAGCTTTGAACTTTTCTCACAAACTTCTTTTAACTGCAGCTTTTTCTCCAAGTACAAACAACACACGGAACAAGTGACCGAGTGGGATCATTTATGACTCCAGTCATATCTGTGTATGTGCTGCTGTGACATTTTTATAACCAATTATGACTCGGATTGTATAACATTTAATAGAATTGTAATTAAATATGTCTGTTTTTTAGCATTATAAGCTTTGATTTTACTGGAAATGACCATTTCTAATCACTACATTGTAGAAAGGCATGTACGCTATATGGACCAAACATAAGCTGCTCAGCCATGCAGCTGAAAAACTCTGTTATATTGGGACATTATACACATAAAAGAAACATTATGAAATCATAAGTGATCCCACCTGGTTGTTTCAGTAGCTAAAATCTCTTGTAGATAACAAAAAGCAGCATTTTTTGGCTCTTTCTGGGATCCCAGAGAGTACAAAAATAACGGAATAATCACAACACGTTTCAGGAACCATGAGCTCATTAGCTGATGGAAAATAAATCACATTTGTGTCATAGAAATGCCTAAAATGTGCCGATCTCTGTCACATTTGTGGATATGTGCTTGTTTTCTTTGTCATATTTCTAATATTTTGCTTGTCTTGGTGAGATAAAGGTGATAAATGTTTTGCTCTGGGAGCCGTTTTGTGAAATTTCTCAGTCGAAACAAAAAACCCCCAAAAAACCCTCATATTGCAGAACAACACGGGACTCTTTTTGGGGACAAAATTAGCGCTGAACCATCAAACCAGTGACCATACCAAGTGATAGTGAGAGGGGACCAGTATTAGCCCAGTATGGAAGGAATGACGCTAACCCAAGGTTCCTGCCGTTTGCGTTTGAATTCATTTTTGGACGATAGACCAGAGTCTGTTTAAAAAATGGGAGATTTAAAGTATTTTTATTGCAATGTTTCTTTCAAACTAAGATTTTAACTTTTCACAGTCCGATAGTGTGTATCTGGTACTCCTGGTGTGTGTGTGTGTGTGTGTGTGTGTGTGTGTGTTTATGTTTGTGTGTGTGTGTGTGTATTTCTGTGTGTGTGTGTTTGCAGCATTTGTCTAAGAATAAATTAAAATCTGAGCCATGTTCAATGCAATATGAATAGATTATGTCTTCTTGTTTTTGCATTTCTATGTTACTCATTTACATTACATTAATGTTTGTAACACGGTCGAGCATTTAGCACCGAGGAGTATTGAATGTGCGGTTTTGCTTCAGTGCTGGTTGGGAAAATGATTCTTGTTTCGTTCGTTCTTTTCTTTTGAGAGCACATATGTCAGTGGACTGAAATGACCCTGTGAGCTCTGCAGTAACCTGTGCTGATATTTGCAGGACATGATGCTTTCCCAATTATTTAAGGGGACATTGTAAAGAGTCGTGATCAGCCATCATAGAAGTCTGGCTCCCAAAGTCCCAGCTTACGTTCACTGCAGTGGCTTTTCTCCCTTTCCCTCAAAATTCAAACTATTAGTCGCCAACTTGTGTCCTCAGGTCTGCGCTCAGGAGGTTGGTTTGATAGAAGGTTTCCGGTACATCACAGATTGGCTCTGGAGTCCCTTTAGCGTCATAGAAAGCAGATATCCTAATATGGTTATCTCAGGGATGAGTAAATATGTACTGACAGGGTGTTGGTGCTTTGCAAGCACAACTATTCCTGTGCAAAGACAATCCCGCAGAGGCACCTATTTGTAAAATATATGGAAAATTTAAGAGCGGTAAAAACATTTGCAGTAGGAATACAGCTTGGGTCTATTTTCACTGCACTCTTATCAACCAATCAGATCGATCAGATCGCTCTGCCCTGTTTTACCAAGGGTTAAAACGTATGATGAGTAAAGACTCGTTTATTCCAGAGCTGTGTTGTTTAAACCCTTCGAATGTTCTTAGAATTTCTTGACTGAATCCACACTTTAAACATCCAGAGCCGATGTCTCGCTCTCTTTCTCTGCAGAGGTTTCTTGTTGTAGGATGGCTTCCACAAGCCAGATATCAAACTCGGTGGCCTTCCTCCGAATTTCAGCAGATTACGTAACGGACAAAATGTGTGTAAAATAAAACCACAAACTGATAATTTCCAGAAAGTGACTGTGCTCATGTAAGCTACGTTCGTTCTGAGCAGCACACACACACACACACACACACACACACACACACACACACACAGGCTTATTATCACTCTTTCTATTTAGTAGAAACATGACTTTGAATTAAACTGTGTCTATCATCAGCGTTGGTTATGCATGTCCTTTATTTTCTTACCTCCCTGGGATTCTGTTCTGGTAATGGCATAAAAAATGGCATTATTGATGTTTAAACTGTTCAATTGTTATCATTTTAAATGATTTATACTAAAGTTTCTTCTAAGGCTGGGCACGTGGTTTTGTTTTTTTGCTTTTGTATTTTATTTTTCTGCTACTGATGATGATGATGATGGGATTACTTGAAGTTTGTTGTTTTTATTTTGTCATTTGGTAAAAGAAGATGTGACGCTGTTGTCTTGGTGTCTGACCTCATTTCCTGTTTGAGCGGTTGCCGGGGAAATCCCCTCAACACCAGCTGTTACTTGTCAAAACAAGCTGCTGTTTTAAGGAAGATACATCTTTGCAAAGTCATGCTGGCAAGTGCAGAAATTTGAAAACAAACAGCAGATGTGAAGGAGTTCACATGTGGCTCCTCAGTTCAAGATTACGTGACAAAAACAAAAGCAGCACATATATGTCACTCGGTATGTGTTAGCAACACTCAAAAAGGCTGAAATATGCTGATGTTTGCTAAATGTAAGACAGCACTGGATAAAATACTGGTGGCACATAATGTACAAATCTGACACCAAAACTGGGGAAATTTTTAATGGAATTTATATCTAATCATGTCTAATTAATATCAAGGCTTTTCTCCAAAAGAACTCACAGCCTCATGTTGGCAGTGAATAGAAAAGTCATGGAGGTGCTTAAATCTCTGACGTAACTACTCTAATGACAAGACCATAAAAGCTATAAAAAGTCTAATCTGTAATGTCAACTGATCGTCCTCAGGGTGCACCTGGCCTCCTTATCATTGTGTCGCAAAGGGCAGAATTAAATATCAGTGTTTGTGGGATGGAGACTCGTGGAAGGTGATGGGAAGTTGGAAGCAGGAATTTACTGGCAGGGTAAAATGGTGAATGGACTGATTCCTATACAGCGCTTTTCTACTCTCCTGGAGTACTCAAAGCACTCTGTACAACATGCCGCATTCACCCATACACACCCATTCACATACGCAGTATAATCTATACTTTGAGTGCTTTCTAACTATCATTCATACGCCGATGGATGCATCGGAGAGCAAGTCGGGGTTAGTATCATGCCCAAGGATATTTGGCATGCAAACTGCTGGAGCCAACCTTTCGATCAGCAGGTGACCTGCTCTTCCTCCTGAGCTACAGCCACCCCAATCTGGTTCATCAGATAAACCAGGCAGATGGTGGTTTTGAGGGTAAAACAAATTTATTAAGGAAACAAGCTCTCTGAACTCTCTGGAAGGAGTGTCTATCCCCACTTGTACATCTTAAGCTCCTCCTACCGTGACATGCTGTTTTATCATTTAACTCATTTCATAAAAAAGAAATCCAATGACCATTTCTAGCACAGTCTCACAGAAACATCCACAACTGTCTGCTGACAACATTCTCCCCTCTGTTTTCCATCTATCTGATATCCTGCAAAACTCTACCATAAACAGTCAAACAGGAAAAGAAATCCCTGTTTGATGGTCTGCTCTTCTTTCGCCTGCTTCCTCCAACCCTCTGCGTGGCATTCGCTACAACCAAGAATCTTCTCTAAGGTCTTCCTCTTTTCCTCCTGCCTGGCAGCTCCACCTTCATCCACAGCCTCTCCTCTGCACCATCCCAGCCTTACTTCTCTAACCTTCTCTCCAACCTTATGCCTTCCTGGTGTGCTAATCCTTTCCCTCCTGGACTTTCTCGATAAAAATCTTCAGCTCTTCCATGCAGCAGAATGATAACAACTGTGCAATCTAAAGTTTTCAGAGGTCAGGGGTTACCACCGTGACAAGCCTCTTTGATAAAGGAGTCACAGAGAAGCCTGGAGCCTGAGCCTCTGTTTGGATATTAAAAACCAGCCATGTTTAATATGATCATGAAGTTTAAAAGTGACACAGAATAAGAAAAAGCATAAAAAATCCAATTTAAATGGTAAATGGCCTGTATTTATATAGCGCTTTACTAGTCCCTAAGGACCCCAAAGCGCTTTACATATCCAGTCATCCACCCATTCACGCACAACATTAAGCCAACATTAGTCTGTTTGGAGCACCAGGCAGGTGGATTTAAGTGCATCATGATTATATATGAAATAATTTTATTCATCATGATTTTATTTTTGCACCGTTGTGGATACAAAAGTGTCTTTGAAGCACTCTGACTGTTTCACATTCATAACCCAGGATTCAACAAGCAGCCACTTGAAGAAATTCTGCCCCGCCTTTCTTTACTGTTTGATATCTGAGTCATAAACTTGTTTGAACCTTCACCCGTATTACAGTTTAATAAAGAAGAAAGAAAATCCTCAATGACACATGGATGAGACATTCCACATGTAGATATCCCTGATTCACACCTGGGAACGAATGTGGAGAACTTCTCTGAGCGAAAAACTGAGTATTTTCTGAGCAGTTTAAGGCCTTCTTTTAAGAACTGAGATTGATTTGATTGATTAAACTTTAAAAACCTCCAGATTTGGTTGCATACTTTGTGAAATACTTCCTCTTTTTAATTTAACACAAATCACAATGAACATCAGTCAGAGCCAGCTCACGATCATGTAGACTTACTCTCTTCAGTGTGAAATGCTCATGCAGAAATCGATTCTTTTACTTCCCTACATCAAGAATCCATCCAAATTCCACGGACCCCAGTCAGTCACAGCGAGACAGACATGCCCACAGTGGGCACAGAGTCACCCACTGACCCAACGCAGATTTCTTTGTCTTCCTCGTGTTGTTTTAATTGCTTTTATGGGCCTAAGATCACCTAAACATAATTTGGTAACTGAAAGGAAAATTAGATGATTATGAAGAATCCTGCAGACACTTCAAACTGTCCAAATCTTAAGCAATTACTAATTTTTCAGGTTTTGTTTATCCCAGTGGGATTGTTTTTTTTCTTCATATGGTGTACAATCACCACACCCCACTTCCTTTGTCCTCCACTTGTCTGCTTTCAAACTTTGTAAAGGACACACTGCATGCCATGCTGAGATATGCCAAGTTATCAGATACAACTTACCAATGTTTGTTTGGTAAGGTGTCTGTTATCTGACTAAGTGTTATTTGGTTTTACAAAAGGAAATTCTTCTGAACTCAGTGAGGCACGTAAAGTCCCCAAACAATGAAAATGAAAGAAGCCCTCTGTGCACAAAGAAAAACTTTAAAGATGGTCTCCTGGAGAGCTCAGCAGCAATTTGAAAAAAAATGAGAAGAACATCTGGATCCTAGGAAACAAAAAAAAGAGGAAAGTACTGTTGGGACACCTGCTGTCTAAACAATGGCGTGTGACACACAGAAACCCCAAGTGGAAACAAGCGTGAAATTCTTTGCTCCTTATAAATAAAACCGTGGTTTCTTGAAACGTTATACTCAAGCTCTCCTTGCAGTGACGTGCAGGAGCTTGGGGATTTTTTCCTGCCTTACCTGCTGATTGTGGAGCTTGATGATTGTCTGGTAAGGGCATGCCTATGGAGCTCCTGGAATGTGGACACAACTACTTTTAGTCTGAGCTTTCATTTCTGCTCAGATCAATGTTTCTATGCACAGTGGTGTCACTCTCACCTTTATGTTGCAGCAGTTAAGCAAGCATGAAGGCAGATTTAGAGGTTAGCAGGGTAACCTGTTGCTGTAATAACAGGATGTTTAAAAAAAAAAATGAACAAGAAAACTTCCAGTTTATGATTCCAAACATTGGATAGACAATTATGGGCACTTGTTTCTTCCACTAATTGTACATCAAATTTCAGGTTAAATATCTCAAAATTTTAACTCAGTATTTCAAAATTGAGGTTACGATTGAGGTTAGTGTTCCTCTGAGACTAACTTGAAGTGCTGGAAAAATAAACTTGAAATTTTGTGCTATGTGAATGTGCATGTGAAGTTTATGGGAATTTAAAGCAGTTCAACTTTTGTTCTTCTTTTTCTGCCTAATTAAAAGGTGTAATATTAGCAACGAATCTGTGCACTGGGGACCATGGAGGCCCAGGGGGGAATTGTATCTGCAGAAATAAAGTCAAGGCCTCCCTTGGCCTGTGTTTGTTTGACTATTTTTATTTTTAATCGTTAATATAAGCTTCTTAAGATCTTCCCCTGATAAAGACCCTCCATATTATAACACCTACTGAAACCATCTAGTCAGTATTCGTCCATTTAATTTAATTTAATTTTTTTTATAAACGAATTAAAACTAAACTTTCTTTTTATGAGAAACTAAACTGCAAGCTCTGGAAACTGACTGAAATCCACTCAACTAAAAACAAAAACTTGGAATTACCCAAGACTCAATTTTGGGTTTTTTTTGGAAAAACAACAGCAAGTTTAGTTGGAATTATTAAGCGATTAATCACGGAGGATAGTTGTTGTGAAATGCACACTGACATTGTCAAAAGATGAAAGTGATGCAAGTGTACAAACGTGCGTAGAGGATTGGGGGGTTTATTTTGTCGTGCATTAAATACGTTTTTTGTTCATTAAATGTACAACAGAGAAAAATGTGCAGATGATCTGTCAAAAAAAAGTGCTCAGGAATGTGATCACCAGAAATCTAGAAGCTGCGCTTTGCAGTTTCTGGCAAAGTGATTTATAGATACGGACTTGAAAAACATTTTCAAGGAAAATTTGGCCGAGAGGACAGCAAAATGTGCAACAAATACAAGATAACACAGGCAGCGTCGAACACAGGGTTGCTGAGTCATAATACCTACGAAGCACGTCGTCTTATTTATTCCATATAATTGATTATCTTTGATCAACTGTGCTAACTACTGCCTGTTTGCGGAAATCACCGTTTTCTGACATTTACAGACCACTTCTGTCTGTGCGAAAGAAAATCAGGTAAGAATATACCCTTACCACATGCATTTAAAAATGTTTATTTGTGTATTTTTTATGTAATTACTTGTAATCGAAAATTACGCCCCGCTGGAAAATAAATTAATTCCCCCTCCAAAAAGGTCTTACGAGATATGTAATCCGAAGAAAAGTTTGTTCGGTTTGTCTCGTCTTAGCTGGAGCTACGTCATAGCACGTCAGTCAGCACGTGACAAAGTCGCCATACTTAAACAGGCTCGTGGACTCCGACCGGCGCATAGTTCTCTCAGTGACTATACGAGTTGGTGTGGCAAGTGGTTTCCTTCGTTTAGCGTCTGTTTGACCGCTCGGACCGTAAGTATATCTGTTTTTGTGTATTCTAGGACTACTTGAAGTATTTAAAAGTGCTTCCGTGTAGCTGACAGGTCGTTTTTACTCACATAAAGTACACATTAAGTTTAACTTTCTAACTCTTCTTCTTCTTTTTATCGTGTTGTTAAACTCAGGGGCAGTCTCGGTTGGGTTGTTGTTGTCTAACATTTACAGCCACTTAAGCTCAGTCAAACAATGGCGGCTCGAGTTTACAGCTACTTTTACACAACTTCACCGGCTAAAGTTTCAAAGTCAAAAGATATACAATAAAGTTTTTCTTTCATGGCTAACGTAGAGTAGCTAGCTAGCTAGGTCGTCTTTACACGGATTTCTGACGGCTTTGACCCAGAGAAACACGGCGCATCACGGTTAGTTGTGGCTTCAGGAGTTCCCGGTGTATTTCATTGAGTTTGGTGAAACTATCAGCTGTTTGCCGAGACACGCCTCGACAAAGTCCTGAAGTCAAGAGGAGGAGCCACACAACAACACTTTAACATTAAGCTGACTTTAATTACAGGAATATTACAGATGTTCACAGTTTGGACATGAGGATTTAACAGGTACCAGTTAGACTACATTTAAACACGTCAGGGTGATTTATCCAGTCAAGTGTGTCAGTGTTCTCATTTTAAAATTTAAACCTTTTTTATTGTGTATTTTTGTAGTCAGATGTATTTTTTTTATGTTTAACTAAAGCTAAAAACTAAACTATGAGTTAAAGTCGTTTTTAGCAACTAAAGTAGAAATACTTTTTTAGGTCATGGTTCAGTTTGGTCAAATTGCCGGATGACTCTTTGGCGTGTATTATTTATTTATTTCAGAGTGCGGATGACGACTGAGTCACCTGTCTTCACAAAGTGAAACCAGGTGTTTGTCTATTTTAAATTGTAATGTCTAATCTAAACTTCTTAAATTCTTCCCCTGACAAAGACCCTTCATGTTATAATACTTACTGAAACAATCGAGTCAGAATTCGTTTATTTAAATATATTTTATAAACTAACAAAAACGAAACTGAAACGAAACTTTTCTTATCCAAATCTAAACTGAAAGCTCTGGAGACTGACTCAAATCAGCTAAGCTAAAAACAGAAACTGGAAATAGGCAAGATTAAAACTTTTTAGACTAAACTACAGCAACCTTAATTGGAGAGATTAATCACTGAGGATGTAAATTTGACCACATCTGACATTTTAAAATATGAACTTGATGCAAGTGAACAAAGAAAGTATGATTAAAGGATTCGGGGTTTATTTTAGTCGAGCACAAAATATATTTTTGTTCATTAAATGGATGAAAGTAACAGGAAAATGAACAGATTTCAGTTTAATCTGTGTTACACAGTCATTACCTTAAATATTAAAGACACTTCATGTGCCATAAACACTGAGCACACTTATTAATTATACAGCCGGCAGGTTGTGCAAAATAACACGAACAAGCGGAGTCATGCATTTGTCACAAATAACATGATGTATGCTTAAAGGAAGAATTTTCCTTGCTCAAAATGGGATGTGATTTCTCAGGAAAGCATCATTGTCTTGCTAATACTTGAGACAAGTCTTTGTTGCCTCACTTAAAAGAAACCAGTGCATTTTCTTTCATTTCTGCCTTTAGACAGTAAAACCATGCTTAGAAAATAGTTCAGATATCTCTTTAGCTATTTGGGTAATTTTTCCAGGAAACCCCCACTTCCATGAAGAGAACTACCACTCAGATGATGGCTGGGTCTCAGTTTGACTCTTCTTTTTCGTAACAGTAAGCCAAGATGACAAACGGTCACATCGAAATCTACGACCCCATTCCCCGCCCTGCTGGCCGCTCCACTGGTACATACAACGACCCCGAGTCTACCCCAGACGTGGCGAACATGGAGGACACAGTGGAGTTCAGAGTCTTAATGGCCTACACGACGAGGAGACGACCAAACACACAGAGGAGCCTGGTCAGGGAAAGTGGTGGGGATGACTCAGATGGACATGTTAAAACTCCACTAAAGACACCAACACAGACTGAGAACAAGCTCACAGAAAAGAAAAACAGAAAGAAGGGGAGGAGATTGAAACGCATGTTGAGCATTTTCAGCTGCACCAGGCCTCAGACGAAGAATGAAGAAGACGACGAGGAGCAGCAGCAGCAGCAGAAACCGATGGAGCCTGCTGATGAAGTCTCATTCAGATGTTTCCCTGCTACAGGTGAGGAGAATAAAGGTGTAGCCTTAGATAACATGACAATTAGCCTCGCTGATTAATGTGCACCATAGTTTTGTTTATAAAATATTAGTTCACTATCATAACATGCAAATAAAATCATTCACTGTGAAACTGATGCCTGAAATACACTAGAAGACTGACATCCGGCACCGTCTCACTGATAAAGACTCCAGGTTACACGTTTTAGTCTTAAATCAGCAGAGTGATAAAAACCCGAGGTAATCTTAAACATGTTGGATTTTTATTGAAACAGTAAGGCAGGAAAAGTACCAGCTCCGACTGGAACTTAATCATTGACAACTTTATCAACGCTGTCATGATTTTTATTATAGGGAGGGGCATTGATATTGGTGTAAGGTTCACAGGAAAAATCTGACAACGTTATAAGTTTTTATGGAAACTGGAAGAAAGTTTTTGTGCTGTAGAGGCGGGTAAAATGAAGAAGATCCTCTTGTTTTGTTTAAAAATGGGTGAAAGTCAATACCAGGTCGAAGACGTCACACTAAGAGTCCTAAACTCTCAAAAAGTGTTCTTTTATAAGTGCGAGAGGACAAAAACACCAGAAAATATTTACTTGTTGCAGAACTTTTTGTCTTAAAAAATGTCTGAGTCGACTGTCAACAGCATGCCATAAAAATATTACAAAGGTAATTTTATGGACCTCAGCCCTTGTTATTTCTTTTTAGTGCGACGGGTGAACATCCTGCTGGTTTCACACTGACCTGAAAACAGGTTTTAGTTTCTCATAAACGCTCATAATTACAGATAAGACCAACTCGAGGTTCTCGAAATGTAAAAGCATGGACGACCAGAAAGTGAAACTATGCTGTAACAAAGTGCTGCCCAATACTTTAGTGCTCTACTTTATTTCAGTTCAACTTGGGTTTTTTTGTTTTTGATTGACAGATTTTTCTGCCGGAGCCAAAAAGTTAGACAAAGCTTATGAAATAATTTTAACATGTTTTTGTTAGTCAGGTTTTCTTGTGGCAAAGCAATGAAAAAAATCAGTTTATGAATTGGACATTTTAACCCCAGTAAATGTGCTTGTATATTCCACCCAGTTAAATAAGGTCAGTCAACTATTTGAGTCATTGCAGTTCCCTAAAAGGTTTTGAGCTTCTTTGTAAAGTCACCGGGTTATTCCAGGAAACTTTTGAGAACCACTGGGCTGAATCACTCACTTAACCATAAGACTTATTGGTTTCCTGCGTTTTTCCTGTTTCACAACTCTCGGCCAGCCATTTTACCCGGTCGATCAGCCACCACCCGCTGTAATGCCGTCCTTTTAGGATCTGATTTAATGCGTTTGTTCCGTTTTTCCAGATGAGCCTGAAAAGAAGGACGAGGACGAGAAGGTGAGAGAGGTAGCGAGCAGACTGATGGAGCTTGCTGATGAAATCCAGTTAATTCCTCCAGAAATAGAGACTGATTGTGGCAGTGAGTTTCTTCTTTTAAGCTTCTTTTGTATCTGTTAAAACAAGCGACACAGACGACACACAATTTGAGGCTGTCTGTTAGAGAGCCAATAGAAACATGGTATGCAGCCTTAGGAGAAGGAAGTTAAATTCTTCTGTGAACTCGGTCAAGACGGGCAGCGCTAACCCAGCAGGTTCTCTGGTAACAGAACAAACAGGAGTTCCTGGAGGAAACAAACCAAGCACAGGGGGAACATGCAGCACAAAACAAAAGGGCCACGTCTGGGTTCAGATGGCTGACGGCTGGGTCACTTTATGCATCTAGGGCAGATCAGATGTTCCCTGAGTAATGCATGTGTAATGTTTGCACATCACATTGTAGTTTGGCCAGTTTAGCTAAAGTTAAGTCAATATTTGGGTAATTGGTAGACTTAAAGATAGTTGGCGTTTTAATAAGGTGTCCATTTCCACCTTAATTTGGTTGAAAAGTCAAATCTGAAGAGCGTTGTCTAGCTTGTAGAAACTGATTTTGATAGTTTACCCACTGAGAACAATCGGTTCTAAATGAATGCTGTTGTAGTTTAGTTTAAGATCCCCAACAGCAGCAGATTCTCCAGGTTCAGTAAAAAAAAAAATGCGCCCACCAGTAATACCCCTTCACATTTTCATAGCCGAGACTCCACCAAACAAATGGCTAGTCTTACACGACAGCCATTTATAGCAGGGACTAGCCCTGATGAGCGACTGCAATGTTCTGGGTCTGAATCTGCTCATCATCTGAGGAGATGCAGCTGTGTCGAGGAGTAAGATTGTCCTTTCACTTTCAACCAAGTTCTTAGATCTCTTTTCAGTGACAGCTCCTTACGCCTTTTTAACCTAGACTGAGCGTTGTTTACACGCCCCACACGTTTTTTTTCTGCCTTCGTAATCATGGCAGCTAAAGTTGGTCCCTTATTGAAGCAATCAGCAATTGCAATATATATGTTTTTTCATACATAGATAAGTGTGCGCCTTTAATCCCTTAAATGTTGTCTGTCTTGTGTTGTTGCTGCTGATAATCGGGTCTTCTGTTCCTTTTTAGATGAGGTGGAGAAGATAATTGGTCTGCTGCTGAGAGAAACTGGAGACAAATATGACGGCAAGGTACAAAAACAACTTTGATCTGATGTGAAAAACAACAGAATATCTTTCTTTAGGAAGTAGTTTACCACCAGTTTGTGTCATGTGATCGCGCTTCTGCTGAGTGGTTTTGGTTTTTCACGCATCCTCACGTGCAGGTCACAGATATTTCTGTTATTTGTGAACATATAATTTAAAAAATATATATGTTCACATTCCTCCAAATCAGAAACTTCATTATTACTTTGTTGTTGGTGTTATTTTTTTATTTTTTCATCTTTAGTGACTGAACTTTATTTGTTTTTCGTTTGTTTTTGTTTGTTTTTTTTGGTCTGTGTTTGTGTGTGTGCCTTGTCAGGTGCTGAAAGATGCCAACATAGCAGCAGAGCTCTTCTGGAATTACGATTTCTTTAGTGAGTTAATAAACACCTTCCTGCTACGAGTGGGCCTCAGGAGCCCCTCGCCCAACTCTCCAGGGCCGCAGGCGTCTCAAAAAACCCAGATGGCTGTGATGTGTGAGGTAAGAGCGGCTTAAGCTATCAGTGAAACTATGAATCTTAATGAGACTAACGCTGGAGGAGTTACCAGAGTAGGAAACTCTAAGGGGCCTTTATGCTTTCCATGTCGCTGGTGTGACGAGGCGGCTGGACATGCATGTCTTGATTTGGCCGCCGCAGCTGGGTTAAAGGCGCAAGTGTATGATCCTGTCAGTTTTTACTGCTATTTTTAATGACCTTGCAGTACAGATGCTCAGGTATGCAGATATATAGAGGGAGATGTTGGAACTGTTCGAAGACTTCTCCTATATCAGCGCTTACGTGGAGATATTGTCTCCACAGCAGCTTCCTGTGCCTTAACGGCGGGCATAAATAAGAGTGGCTGTGAGCTGCAGGAGCTGTGGTCAGGTAGCACAAATTGCTGTAGTTTCAATAACAATCACATATCGTTTATCGGTATCCTTGACTACGAACAAGTGATATACGCCCTGAAAAATCAACAGGTCAGTTCCTAGTTAGCAGTAAGTAAACCTAGGAGCAAGAAGACTATTCACTTATAAATCAGGTTCACTCCAGGATAAAAACAGTTAAAAAAAACCCCCAAAAACAAACAAAAAAAAAAACTTGAAATGAGTCTGTGTATACTCGGGCAGGTGTGGCAGTGTGAGGGACACCTGTTTGCTGAGTTTTGGGAGTCATGTGCAGGTCTGCTGACTCATTTTCACATGACTGTCTTGGCTAACCTCTGGAGACATCTGTTTTTCTTGTTTCAGGTCACCACTCGTCTGTCAGCTGTGGAAACGTTGCCCACAAACCGCCTGCTGAACCATGGCGCTCGATACATGCAGGATAACTTTTCATCCTGGGTGCAGGACCAAGGAGGATATGTACGTTTAAAAAAAAAAAGCCTTCTTAATTAAGCCATTAGCTTGACCTGTTGAAGTTTTAAAAACATTAAAGTATCTGCTTATTTTGCAGGATGCAGCGTTTGATGAGACTGAGGAAGTCGACTGAAAGCAGAAGGGACGTGGTTTACAAGCTCCACAGCTCCCCCTGTTGGCCAAAACCTGCACGGACTGTAGCTTCAGGAGCTACTAACATTAACAATGAACTCTAATAGCACAACAGGACATCTTGGAACTGTACAGAGAATAAAAATGAGTTTACAGACTGCAAAACATCAGAGCCAATTTCTCACAGATCATGTAATAGTTCTTATATTTAAGTTTCAGTGAGATTTAAATAAGATATTTCTTGTTTGTTTTTTGTTTTTTTTACATGTAATGCATTTATACAAAATTTAAGACATGTTTTGCAAACTTATGCACTGATTTTTTTTTTTTTTT